CCTATCCCCTGTGTGCCTTGCCTCCCACGACTAAGAGTAGTCTTCCAACGCCTATAACGAAAATGAATATTGATTTTGCCTATCCTCATCACCGTCGAAATTTCATTACGCGATCACGTTTGTTCTGTAGTGTTTTATTTTTCATTTTTCTGAAGCGCATCTAATAAAAAATATAAAAAAAAAATTAATCCGTGAAAAATAAATTGCTCAAAATACCCTTGAAACTTTTTGAGGGTATTTTGATCAATTTTTTTCATGTAAAATATTTTTTATAATTTTCAAAGATTCCCCTATTTTTGATGAATACACAATCCAAATTTCAGGTCATTCCGATTTATAGAAAAAAAATGAAAAATGAAATACCGGACAATCGTGACCTCACGATGAAGTTTGGACGGTGATGGGGTAGGTGAAATCACTGTTCATTTTTTCCTATAGGTGAAAATGAACAGTATAGGAAAACACTACGCAACGTCTATAGGTAAAAATGAACAGTGATTTCGCCTACCCCCATCACCATTCAAACTTCATTGCGCGGTCAAGATTGTCCGGTAGTATTTTATTTTTCATTTTTTTTTCTACAAATCGGAATGACCTGATATTTGGAGCGTGTATTCATCAAAAATAAAAGAATCTTCGAAAATTATAAAAAAAAAATATTTTACATGAAAACAATTGACCAAAATACCACTTAAAAGTTTTGGGGGTATTTTGGTCAATTTATTTTTTAAAGATAATTTTTTTTATTTTTTTATTAGATACGCCTCAGTAAAATGTACATACCCTCCAAATTTCAAGTCATTCCAATTTGTAGACAAAAAAAATGAAAAATAAAACACTACCAGACAATCGTGACCGTGCGATGAAATTTAGACGGTGATGAGGGTAAACGAAATCACTATTCATTTTCGCCTATAGGCGTTGGAAAGACTTTTCATATATATATATATATATATACATATGAAAATTGAAAATTGTTTCATGTGGGCTTACCGCACTTCTACAATATGCAGTTCGGAGTTATAAAAAGATGGATCCAAGTAGGTAATCTATGTAAAAACATTTGTAACTAACAGTCCAAATGTTTTTTAATATAATTATTATTTTTAGTTTTCAAAAGAAAAAAACTTCATATTCATGATCTCCATGTTAAAGATTATATTTAAAAAATATATTTATTGCCAAGCCTTCGTTTCTACAATATGCAGGCAACCCGCATAGAAACTGTGTCCATTTTTTTGTTTTTTTTGACAAATGAATCGTGTCCATATATATTTATGGGAAATCTTTCTATGTTCCCCCTAAAACATAGAAGTCCTATGTTCCCCCTACTATCTAGCCGTCCATTTTTTTATCAAGAGAGCCACTCACCGTTTGATCATAGATTTGACGTCTCAAAGTATTTTATTTTTAGTTTTTTTAATACAATTTTTTTTAATATGAAATTTGATAAGTGCCATCTTCTCATTGGGGCGCACCTATGAAAAATATTAACAATAATTTTTTGATAAAAAATAATGACCAAAATACTCTTTGGAATTTTTAGGGGTATTTTGGTCATTTTGTTTTTATTGAAAATAGTTTTTTATATTTTCCTTTGTGCGAGTTTAATATAGGAATGGAAGCCCAAAATTTGGTGTCAAAACAGTTTATAGAAAAAATTTAAAAATAAAACAGTGCAAAGACGTGACATTGTGATTGGAACAATCTTAGCCTTCCATTCAAAAATGGGCAGTTGGATAAAAGGGAACATAAAAAGCTTTCCCTATGTTTACTATGCATAAAACTAATCTTGTCCCTTTTACTATAACCCAGCAGATATTTCTTATAACAATTTTCATACCAAAAATAAGGAGCATCAACTTTCCTTAAGCATATGCTACTCGTAAAAAACTCAAAAAGCTAAACCCACCATATTTCTCTTTGACCCATTTTAATTCTTCGTGTTATTGTTACATGCAACACACGTAAAACTACTAGCTTACTTTTAAAATTCACTAAATAAATTGCGGTAAATATGGGTACGGTTTGTATAGAGTTTAGGCTCTAAACAATCAAATTAGAGCCTACCTTCAAATAATGTTGAGAAATATCGTTTTAATACTGAAAATTTTTTTGATAGCCTTAAAATATATTTTCATCTTTATTTATAAAGTTTAAAGCTTCAAAAACAGTGTAGATCGAGAGATCCATGAAAACTTGAAAATCTTGAAAATTGATGGTCCAAAAGTGCGTTACAAAATATACTATTTCCAAAACTTGAAATCCAGTTTTTTCTCATATCCATACATCTTGATGTCGAGATGATGAATTTGAGGATATTTGGGCATCAAAACAATCTCTTCTAGTAAAATTTTTGAGGTAGGCTCGAATTTGATTGTTTAGAGCCTCGGCTCAATATAAATTTTTCCCTTTAAAATATAAGGACATGTTGGTATGCATTCCTTAGCATGTTTCAATAAAATTAATCTTGATAACCTTTGTTGTTTGGCAGTGTTCCTCATAAAATTACCCAAGATAGACTTATATGTAATTTTATGTATAAAATTTTTCTGTTTGAATTTTGAAAAGCTATTTTTACTTTGTTCAAAATAATTTGCTGAAAATCATATTTTTTTAGCGAGAAATAACTGTTTCAAAAACATCTAACGAAATATATCCAAGTATCCCAATTTCAGATAAGAAAGTCCACTCGTAATAAGACTAATTACCATCCAATGACAATGTTAAATTTTTGCACCTGCCTAGTTTTCCAACTCTCTAATATTAACACTCGTTTCCGTTTAGCAATTGTAAATGTGTTTTAACTTTTATATCTTTACTAAAATGGTGAACATACAATGAGAGCATTGAAATTCCTACAATAATTTGCATCAGCAAGGGACAAGAAGTTTGTGCCATTCCACTGCTTAAACAATTGCATCTGTAAATGATCTAACCTTTGCATTAAGCTTGAAAGAGCTATCATGTTAATTGAAGAAAAAAAGAAGAATTATTGTTTATTTATCAAACAGCAATAATAAAGATTCATGTTATATTCGACAGTATGTAAAATGTAAATAAATACAAAAAAATATATATTCACCTATGATTTGATAAATGTTTCATCCAAATTATCAAATGCAAACTTAGCATTGTTTAATTGCGAAGGCAGGTGCCATTACCTAGGAGTGATATTACCCATCTAACCTCCACTGAATTATCCAAAGGACAAAAATGTTTTTTGAGTTCTATTAACTTCAATAATGCTAAACTCATTTCAAAAATGTATTTGCCTGACATGGCCAAAACTGCATTTGATGGATGTCATTTGATGTAACATGGAACTAGTGTTTCAAAACCTATATCGTGGATCGTTTACCTTGCAGATCCTTGTTGGATTGTCAATCTGAATAGGTGATGTAGAAATTATATAAAAGTAATAATTTTTTGTTTTCTTGTTTGGGGGTGGGGGGTGGGTTTTATATGTATAGGATGCCAATAAGTTCGTTTTCTGTTGTGTATATGGCTTGTTTTGTTCTTTTATTGATCAGCTCATTGTTACAGGTAGGTTCTTGCATTCAGTTTCTTCCTTTGTTGCATCAAATTGCTTCTCTATCTAATCCATCCAGATTTTAAAGTAGTTTGAGACAGGTAGTGTTCTTGTATTCAGATCCTTTCTTTAATGCTTAGTTTCTCTCTATAGTTCTTAGGTTGATTTCAATTATGTGTATGGTTTGTCTTGTGTCTTCTGTTGTGTAACTCGAAAAGAATTTATCTCATCGCACCTTTCTTTTAATTGATTTTTTAATTTCATCGATGAATCAAGGGGACCGTTAATTATAGGATGCACTCCAAACAAATGAAAGGTCCATCTTTGAAATAGGATGTTTTGCATTGCTATGAACTAAAAGAACGATCTAATCTTTGAATTATACTTGAAAGAGCTATCATGTAAAACCATTGGTAGTTCTTTATTTATTAAAGAAAACGAATAATTGTTATTTATTAAAAAAAAAATTGTTGGTAGCAATTGTTTATTGATGGAAGAAAACAAGAATAATTGCCATTTATTGGAAAAAAGGCAATGCATGGACTGATAAAAGACAATGCATGGACTAATAAATCACATTGTTTCTTTTTTATTTTTCTTGCTCTTTTGGTTCTTTATATATATTTTTTTTTGCAGAGAAAATATAAAAAGAATGAGTGTATTATAAGTTTAAAAGCACGAAGGACTTTGCTATACCTGATCCCTTAGTCAATAAGTACAATATTGTGGGTAGGGGTACCGTTCTCATGGTCTTCAATGAGAAAATAAATGAAGAATATGTTTCAATGCACAAATAAATGAAGAGTATGTTGATGAAATGAAGAGTATGTTGACGAATGTTGCTGCTGCCAAGCACAAATAAATGAAGAGTGTGGAATGAATGTGTATTATAAGTTTAAAAGCGCAAAGGACTTTGCCTCAATATCTGATCCCTTATAGATCGTTTGGATACCTGAAAATATATTGTCTGTGAAATGTATTACTGCTTAATACATTACCTGCAAATGGATTGTCACTGTTTGGGTAGTATTTAGATGCAACTTGGGAAATACATTGTTACTGTTTGGCTATGTCTAGA